ACACAGGCATTTGATGAAGATTTTGTGTACTACAGGCATTTTCTTTGGAAATAGAGCACTGGATGTCAGAGCCTCAAAGGGATGGCTGGGCCAAAGGTTACATACAAATAACGGTGTTAATACCTTAGGGGAAGCAAACACAGCTGAAGAAAAGTCTCCCTTTTGTGACCTAAGAGGCACAATGCTAGTATGTTTTTTCACTTAGAACTGATATGAATTGACTGTTCCCCTCCAAAACTCTGAAACTACACTGGCATTTAAATGCCATTGTAATGGGATTGACAGGTGGGACCTTTAAGAAGTATTGAATGGCAGGTGTACAACTCTCATGAATGCATTAAGGCCTTTGTGGAGAAGTATTTTAAACATACCCTGACTCTTGCCCTGAGGTGCTTCCCTCTGTGTCAGGAGCTAGAAAGAAGTCTCCCCAGATGCCAACATCTTGACAGTGGACTTCCTACACTCCAGATTCAAGATGAGCCAAACAGATTTATATTCTTTAGAAATTTCCTAGTTAGTGCTATTCTGTTTTAGGAGGAGGAAACGAAGTCAGAAATCAAGCCGAGACTGTTAGACAAAGTCTATGAAAGAGAATGGGTATTCACGTCACATTTTGGGATGTACCTTCACAGGAGGAAGTTGGTGAGAAATTATTTTGGACCTTTGTGGAATAGAGAATGCCTATAGGCTAGATCATTTCTACCTTAGCTTTGGAATCTTGAGCCAAATTTATTCAATTTTAATTCCTTAAGCTTCATTTTTTCAACTTGTATTTAAAAATAAGCTTGAAGCACACGTATTTGGAAGTCTGTGAGATAATCTCTTTGAGGCAAAAGGTTGGAACTGATGATATCTGGAACTGCCTTTCATCTGTATGTTTATAACATCATCTAAATAACGTCAGTGAGAGAACACCACTGTGCTTGGGTTTCTATATGATGAATTACATCTTGTTGTTATGGTAACAAATGCACTAAATATAGCATGAAGGAAAAGGAAGTACAACATACAAAACAACATGAAATTGTTATGACAACTGTCATTTCACAAATAAGTAAATTAATGCTCATGGTTTTCTTTCTTCCTATAATGAGTTTCACAGTCTAGGCACAGATCTCATCTTCATCTCCATTCCAGTTACTACAGCAAACAGTGACAGTGGTGCTCTTAGACAAATCTCTCCCCACTTTGGGAAGAAAAGATCAATTAGACTGTATATCTTTCTATCCATCAATCTGTCTGTATACCATCCATCTACAGACAGAGTACATATTGGCACCAAAATGAATGCTTAGATGCAGACCTAGAAGAGCCTGGGTGGTGAGACACAGGAAAATTAACAAAATTATCCATACTACTGGTACTCATACTAAACGCTTTCATGTTTTATTGATGTATGGATTGCATACCATAAAATTTACTCCTGTAATGTGTCCAGTGGAGTGGGTATTAGTAGTTACTGCGTTGTACAGCCACCATCATGGCCCAGCTGTAGAAATTTTATTATCCTATCATGATACCCCATGGCCCTTAGAGGTCATGCTCCCCCTTTTGACATCTCCAACCCTACCTTAGTCTCCTGAAATCATTAATATACTTTGTGAATCTGTGAATTTAGGCATTATAAACTTCACATGAACAAAAGCATATTATTTATGGCCTTTTGTTCCAGGCCTCTTTTGCTTATCACATTTTCAGATTTCATCCATGTTCTAGCATGCATCAGTATTTTATTCCTACATAGTATTCCATTTGGTGAACACCCATCATTTTGCTTAACTATGATAAATATTGAGGCTGTTTTCACATTTTGATTATTATAAATAATGTGGTTAGAAGCATTCATGTGTAATGTTGTACATTGATAAACATTTTAAGATATTTTGAGTATCTCCTGGGACTCAAGTTGCAGTGTCACATGTTAGCACTCCCTTCAATACTGTGAACAACTGCTCTAATGTTTCTTACAGTGACCTCACCAATACACTTTCCCACTAGTAATGTAGGGTTGCTCTCGAGTTTCCTCATTCTCTCCAAGCCTTCTATCATTTTCTATTTTAACTGACCTATAGCCAAGAAGAAAGGATGTCTATGGTTTGAACATGGTTTATTTTCTCTGGAACTCATATGTATATTTGGTCCCCAGTGGAGTAGCACCAAGAGGAGACAGAGCCTTTAAGAAAGGCTGAGAGGATGCACTGGGGAACAGTTCTATGGTAGATCATTTGCTTTACATGTGTGAGACCTCTGCTTCAATTTTCCAGTATCACAAAATGACTGGGGCAAGGAGCTAGATTAGTAGGACAGTGCCTCCAGGTACTATGTTAATTCTTGTTTCTGGGTGAGGGATTGGTCACTGTGACTGCAAGTTGCTGTAAGGTGAGCTCCACCCCCACCGTTCTAGTCTCTTTGGAATTCACCCTCTTGTCTCCCACTGTGTCCTCTGCTCTAGCACTACACAAGGCCCATACTGAGTGCAGCCTCCTGCTCTTGGACTTCAGGCCTCAGAACTTTAAGCCGAAATAGATCTCTTTACTGTTAAGAATTACCCAGTTCCAGGAATTCCGTGATAGTGACAAAAGTGAACTAAAGCAAATGTCTTCATTCCTACTTGTCCCCCAGCTGTGCTCTCCTCCCTGTGCTTAATGCGCATGTCTTTGTGTTCACTAGAGAAATAGCTCTTCAAATCGTTTCCCCACTTTTAACCAGGTTTTCTTATTATTGTCATAAAACTTCTTTCGAATTTAGTTCCAACTCCCTTGGATACATAAAAGACATTTTTTTTTCATTTTGTTGGTGGTCTTTCTACTTTCTTTTTGTGAGCCTTTCTTGCTCTGAAATGGTCAATGAAATTTCTTTTACTTATTTTCTTTCATTTGTACTTTTGGTGTCGTATCTAAGAAACATTTGCTTACTCTTAGGTTATAAAAAATTTAATATGGGCATGAGAACTTAGATTAGTGGCAGAGAGCACTTGCTGCCCCTTCAGAAGACCTTTTTCCAGTTCCCAGCACCCACCTTGGACAGCTCATAACTGCCTGTAACTCCAGGTCTCCATGGACACTCATATACACTAATACACACACACACATACACACACACACACACACACACATACACACACGCAAATATCAACAAAGCTTTTATGAGTGATAAAAATTAGCATTGTATTTAATTATAAGATTTTGGGTTTTTTAGTTATGTACATGGTCTATTTTTCAGTTAATCTTGTTTTATGTGAGATAAAGGCCTAAATTAACTTTCATGAGATACCAGTTGTCCTTGCCATATGTGTTGAGGAAATTATTTTTGCTTAGTGTATTGTCTGACATCTTTGTCAAAAATCAGAGGAACATAAATGGAGGAATTAAGTATGGAGTTTCAGTTAGAGTTCATGAACAAAATCTGTCTCAGTTACTGTTGCTATGATAAAATCCTCCAGGAAAGCAAGTTGAGGTGAGGAATTTATTTTGTCTCACACTTTGAAAACTCAGTCTATCATAGTGGGAATGTCCTGGAGAAAGAAACTTGATGCAACTGGTTGTGTTGCATCCACACCCAGGAAGCTGAGAGAGAAGGATGTGCTCAGACAGTTTCCTCCTTTGTATGCATTTTGACACCCAAGCCAAGAATGGCCACATTCAGTCCACCCCACATCACTTAACCTCTGCCTCTGAGGAGAGCCTAGATCCTGTCAAGTCAACAACATTGACCTTTGTTAATCTCTTTGTCTGTCTAGTTTTAGGCCAGCACTAAACATTCCTTGTTATCATGGCATTATATTAGAGTCCTCTAAGCCTGTCTTCTATCCCAAGCTTAGATTTATTATTATGGCTCCCCTGCCATTTCCATATGAACTTTAGGATTAGCTCATCAATATCTGCAAAGTTGGAAAAGGATTATGTTAAATCTTAGATCCATGTAGTGATAAGTCCTGTCTTAAATATGTCATCCCAAACTGTGGATACTGACTGTTGATTCTCCCCAGTTTATTCAGATTTTATTTAATTTATTGGAACTGCATTTTGTAGCTTTTGTATGGACAATCCCTGCTTTTCTTTGTTAAATTTATTAAGAGGCATATTATTCCATTTGCCACAACATGTGGGAATTCTTAGTTTCATTTTGAAATTGCTCATTTCTAGCCTATATAAAGACAGTTGTAAGCTAACCCTAAACTTCACTGATCATTCAAGTGCCCTTTAATATATACAGTCATATCAACCAGGAGAAAAGATGTGGCTTTTTCCTTTCTAACTGCATCCTTCTACATGTCACTTATCTAATTGCCCTTCCCAGGTATACTTTCTAGTCTAATGCCACACACACACGGTTCAAAGAGACACCCTTATATTCTTTCTGCCTCTAACAGTCTGTGGTTGGCAATGATTTTTACAGATGCTTTAGTTGCTCTGAGGGAGTTCTCTTCCACTCGTTAGTTTATTGGATTGATAGCCAATCCTTATGTGTTTTATTTTTGTAAAATGAAAGTGTTATGTAATCTAGAAAAGTTTTATAAGTTTTCTCTGTGGCTTTGGAGGCTGTCGTGGAACTCAGAGTCGGCCAGGCTAGTCTCAGACTCACAGAGATCTGCCTGCCTCTACCCCCACCCCAAGTGCTAGAATTAAAGACATATGCCACCAACACCCAGCTGAAAAAATTTTGATAATGATTTATCATCTTCCTGGGTCAAAGTTGAATTTTTGAATAATGATGATCAAGGAAGCAAGCAAGGCTTTATTGAGAAGAAGAAAAACATCAGGGAGAGGGTCCTCCAAAATGTGCTGCCAAATACCATTCTTTAATATGCACAGACAACAGGATTATAAAATTAGTTTTAATAGTAGACCAAGGACTATTATGCTATAACATTTGGGAAATGGTGTAGTGATTATTTCTTCATAACTTGTAATTCAAGATAACTTTCTTTTCTTCTTTTTCATTTTCCAAATTTATCTAAGAAATATAATAGGTCCTGTTAATCTTTTGTTTTCTTTCAGGTGTGTAGGAGAAATGGGAGCTACCCACCACGATAGCCACAGGAGGACAAAAGGCCAAACTCAATGGTTCCAATCAGTTGTGGAATGATCTATGCCCAGTCTCACTTCTTAAAATATTGGACATAACATCAATGAGTTCCTGTGAAGCTGTACAGACTGGCCCTCTGAAAAGCGGTCTAGATGCTCTGTGCCCACAGACAGCACTTGGAGTTCTGATGTTGAGCCATATTTCTTAGAAGACGGGACACATTATTTTAATGTGCACAAAAGTGCAGAATTGGCATTTGTAACCCATGGTTTACTTGAATATGCTCTCCCCTGCAGTGAGAAAACCTTAATTTATTATGCATTCATCACATGTGCCTGTAGTTTTCTGGTTAGCTTATGTGTTACCTGATAGTGAATTCCATAAAGGAAAAAGACGATAGCCTATGAATCAATCCATTTTTTATGGCAGGCATATAAACAGATGATAATTTTAAAATGTGTAATGACCAAGGAGTCTGCTGATTTTTATATTATACAGTTAGCACCACCATATAATATGCATACAAGATGTCAAACATCTGGTCACATTAGAGCATCTGGATGAATGATTGAATATGTTTTCATCTTAATCGGGATGCTTTGGCATCAAGTAATCTAACCCTGAGGTTAGCCTGCAACACTCGGGGGCCCTCCTGCTTTTGTTCTCAGATGTGGTGAGATGCTGAGCTATCGCAGATGAGTGACGGCTACTCAGCATGTCATCCTAACTCCAGGGAATTTCCTCCAGCCAAGACTCCTTTGAAAGGTCTTCTCTTGTTCCAGATGTTGCATATATGACAAGATGTGTTGTAGCATGCTGTTGAAAGCATAGTCAGAAGAAAAGTCAGAGGAGGGAAATGGTAACAAAGCCAGCATTCCTTCATAGAACCAGAGGCCCTGGACAGCTGTCTAGGTATTAATATAATTTGATGTCTTTTTTCCTCTTTCTTTGTTTTTAAGCATATCGTCTCCAATTCCTCACCTCAAATTTGGTCTGGTATTCTGTGGCACTGCGAGCATTCTCTGAAGACCCAGTGTTCCTACCAAGTGAGGCTTAGTGAGTGAGCAGCATTTCATTGTTCATGACTCTACCCTAACGTATTTAACTAACTTCCTGATACTGCTTACTTAGATGATTTTTTGGTGTTTTGTTCCTAAGGCAAACAGTTTGCACATAATTTGACTGCTTTCTGATGTCCCAAACCAGGAATAATTTGGCCAAAGACTATGGATGTTTTCTGAGGGACTTCCTGTTAATTTTCTATTGCCAAAATGACAAGTTAGAGCAGAAGGAATACGTCAAACAAAGCTCATTATTGATGTTGTGGTTCTGAAGGTTACAAGTCAGGTGGGGTTGGCTATTTTCCCTGATTGGAATCTCCCAAAGGCTAAAATGAAGATGTGGGTAGGGTTGCCTCCCATCTAGAGACTGAGGTAAGTATTTCCAGGCTATGGTGCTTTGCTGACAGAATTCATTTCCACACAGCTATAGGAGCAGATCATGTTTCCGTGTGGCTGTTGGCTAGGGCATTCCTTAGGGCTAGGTCTTTCTTATGGTGGTGCACCATGCCGCCCTAGTCCTCTGTTCATAAAGACTCAGGTTCTTATACTAGATCCAGACAACAATCTCCCTGATGTAAGATGTACTCATAGTCTTAGTTCCAACATCAAAATCCTTTAGTCCTGTAAAGGTGGAAAATCAAGGAGTGTGGAGATCCTCTCAAGCTCAGGCATAGGATCTAGTAAGTTCCAGAATGTTCTAAAACTGCTTAGACTAACATCTAGCATTGAAGAAGAATGTCTGTTGCCACCTGCTCTTGCAAATTAGGAAAGCAGACCACATCTGACAAGTGAAGTGTTTCTCTGTGTTTCAGAGATGTTCATTAGGTTGCTGATCAAAGTGGATCATAAGGGGTGTTTTATAAAATGGTCAGTCAGTGCAGTGTTCCAGGTGAAATAAATACACACATGGAAACACAAGCCCACATCACTCTCTCTCTCCCTCCCCACCCCCTCTCTCCATATATATATATATATATATATATATATATATATATATATATATTCTTTCATTTTTTAGACCGGTTTTCTGTGCTCCACAGATTGCTTGGAGCTCTGAACTGAGTGTTGCCAAACCAGATGTCTAGCAGCTGAGTCGAGACGTGAACACATTCAACAGTGTGAGGAGGTCACCAGGACCATTGCCATCAATATGCTGGCATGGGTTTTGAGAAAACACCACAAAAACCTTTCTTTGCTTTTGGCATCCTGTGCCAAATATGCCATAATGTCCTTCACAGATTATTTCACACACATATGCAAGCAAAATGATGCCAGACTCAGGTTATTTTCAAAATAGCGGATGTGAGACCCCCAGATTTAAACTGCAGGATGGTTGCAAAGGGAAAACATATGGAAAAACCACAGCACAGTGGGGCTTGTAGAAAGACTCTCATAAACTTGATAAAATAAATACTTCATTGAATAAAATCCCAAACTTCATATTTATGGTCTGCTCTATGAAAAAATGAAGTAGCATCCTGACACCCAATTCAGAAGGATAGAAAAAAATGTTGGTTCTTATCTATAGATGAGTTTCAGAAGAAGCATTTGACTCTAATACTTGGATTTGGTAACAAAGGCTACAAATTCAAAGCCTTTCCTTGTTTCAAGTGGGCAAAGTAAATGGAAACTTGACTAAAGATGTTAACATCAAACTCAGATGATAAATTCTCAGAAACCAGGATTCCTAACATAAAGGCCTTTTATGCATACATTGATTTGTGTGTGTGTTTGTGTGTGTGTGTGTGTGTGTGTGTGTGTGTGTGTGTGTGTGTTTATAGTGGACAACTTGTATTATTGAAATTAGCTCATGCATGGGTAGGACCATCCAACTCATTAATTTGATCTTCTTTTAAAAAAAAGATAATAGAAAAGTTCATATTATTCTTACGGGTGTGGGTAACAACAGACAGGGGGCTTTGGAAATAATTTTCCATTTCTGGAATTGGCTTCTGATTATATAGTCAGCCTATGAAACTGTGCACCTATAAATACCAGTACTTTGCTGAATATTAAATTAAGTAAAATATATATTTAAAAAGGTGTTGTGCAGTCAAAGATATATTTTAGAGCATTTTTAATATGGACAAGATCTTTGAACTTGCAGGTTGTTGATATCAGAGGTGACAAAACTGTAATCTACATTTGAGGTTTAAACCCATAAGTATACCTCACCCATCATTTTAAACAAAAACATAAATTAGTTGTGAATTTTTAAGATGGAAGATTTGTATCAAAATGCAAACTATGAACTTCTTTTAAAGATTTGCAAAGTCTGAAGTAGGCTTATATTGCTGCAGGAGGAGGGCAGTCTGGGGCAACAAAGTAGACATCATCTGTAAAATAACATGAGCAATAGTCTTCTTTGTCCTAGTCTCCAGAACATTCTGAGGAGACTGGAACTTTCTGCCATCTATCAGCCAATCAAGAGGAGTGTGCCATGAGGATAGGCTGGCAGTACCTCATATAGACAGCCATCCTGAGTAGGTTTGGCATATGGTTTGTTTCTACAGAGAACACAGTGAAGTCTGAGCTTGGTCATTCTCTGGTTAACTGTGCCAGGTACTAGTAGAGGCTCTGAGTCACTAGAGCTGCCCGGTGTGCACTTCAGACAGAGACATGGCCCTCCACACAGCTCTCCATCTGAAGACTCCTAGGCGCAGCCTGTGAACTAGAGGAAAGGAAGGCATTCCCCGTGAGCCCAACACATAAGTTTGGAAGAAGCATGAAAAGCAAAGCTAGCGTGTCCAACTTTTGCAGCTGTAACCCCAAGGGATGCGGTCCTTTTATTAATCACATCCCCAATCTCCGTGAGGCAATCGTCACTTATTAATGAAGTGAGTCAAAACTCAGAAACAGGGACAGCCTGTGATGCCTGTCCTCGCAGGTGCCTGAGGAAAAGCAAAGTAAATTGAGTGACAAGAGTCAGCCTGCGAGGCCCCTGCGGAAGGAACCGCGGTGAGTCCCATGACACACTCAGGACTGAAATGGGTCCCAGATTTTGGCAAGACCGGGAGGGCAATTAGAGCTCCGGGAGGGGGTGTGACAGCACACGTGTTGGGCATCAGCACCCTGGCAGCAGCATTTCCCAAACGACGCTTGTAGCTGATGTGTGAACAGGTCCCTGCGCTGCCGTCTTGCTCCCACAGTCAGCGGGGGTTGGAATCAATCGAGCAGATGCCCATGGAAGACTCTGGAAAAGTTTTCAAGGCATATGAGTCCCAGAATTCGCCAGAGTCTGCTAGATATTTTTGAGCTGATGACATTTTCAAAAGGAACCCACATGGTATTGGCATTCCTGTCCCATCTTGGTTTTTAAATGCTGTGGGTTTTAATATATGCCTTATACTTATATGGGCCAGCTGCATTTTAAGTCTAAACCAAGCTTTTTCTAGGTGATAGAGCTTGGAAAATGAAGCAGACTACTATAGTAAACCTGTCAAAGTTCTAGTTCTTCGTGTGTGCCATTACAGAGGGATCAGGAAAGAGTCTTCATATAAATAGCATGCCATGTCTGAATGTTATTTAACACTTTATGGAAAAAGGTTCAAGCCTTGAGACAAGTAAATAAAGCCAATAAAAGTACTGAATCATAGCATGGGGGGAGGGGAGAGGGAGCTGGGAGAAAGAGAGGGGGAGAAGAGGAGGGGAGAGGAAGACATGGGGGAGCAGGAAGGTTGAGTCATGGGAAGAATAGAGGAGAGCAGGATGAGGGATACCATGATAGAGGGGGCCGTTACAGGTTTGGGGAGAGATCTGGCACTGGTGAGATTTCCAGAGATCTACAAGGATGACACCAACTGGCAATCTAAATAGTGGAGAGTCTACCTTAAATGCCTTTCCCCTATAATGTTACTGACAACTACCTTGTGTGCCATCCTAGAGCCTCCATGTAGTGGCTGATGGAAGCAGAGGCAGACACCCACAGCTAAACACTGAACTGAACTCCTGGAACCCAGTTGCAGAGAGGGAGGAGCGATGAGCAAAGGGGTCAAGACTGGGCTGGTGAAATTCACAGAAACAGCTGACATGAACAAGGGGGAAGCCCATGGCCCCCAGACTGATAGCTGAAAGTCCAGCATGGGACCGATCCAGACCCCCTTAGTGTGGGTGTCAGTGAGGAGGCCTCAGACAAATTTGGGGCCTCGGGCTATAGATCAGTATTTATCCCTGGCATCCAATGGACTTTGGGAGCCTATACCACAATGAGGGATGCTTTCTCAGCATGACACATGGGGGAGGGCCTAGGCCCTGCCCCAGGATGATATGACAGACTTTGGAGATCCCCCATGAAGGACCTCAACCTCCATGGAGAGTGGAGTTGGGATTGGGTGGGGGGTTTGAGGAGGCTGGGAGTGCGCACGGGGTGGGGTGGAGGGAGAGGGGGAAGAGGGAGCCG